GCTGACTACTTCTCCAGAACTAGCAGAATGTAACCTTCTGCCAATAGCACTTGACAATGAATTCCAGGTCCCTACTCCTCAGCTTCCTCTCACTGCAGAAAGGTCTTGATCTGGTTTTCCATTTTGCCTTAATGTAGCTACACAGTTGTGCATCAGAGCCACCATCTCTGCAGTCGGGCCTCCTAGTGAGCAATATACAACCAGCTTTTAGAAAAAAGACACTACAGGATGCCACAGTTATGCGATACAAGACCTTTTTTGGTTGTCAGACTTGAACATGCAGCTTCTGAAACATTCTCAGCTCAGCCAGTCCAGAAAGCAAAGAGAATTTTAAGAATTAAACATCGACTTCAGCAAGCTGATATTTATCATGGTGAGCCTGCAGTGGAGTCTATACTCCAGAGTATAGAAACTACATTCCATTGTTGTCTGCTGACCTAAAAATCACTATTAAATATAGCTTTAAGTCTACAAGATAAAGATAGGCATAGTTAAATCTGAAGTGTCACTAAAAGAAGATATACACCATATCCAAGCAACTTCCTGCACTGTGAGTTTTAAGTTAACATTGTTAGACTTAGACAAATTCTGACAGATGGAAATATTATTTAGTACCTCACTGCTTCCTGCAACAAAGTGACAACCAGTGGCATTATCATTTTACCACAGTGCACTACAGAATCTCATGGTTCACATTCAGTTATGGCATTATGCTTGTTCTCAACTCATTTTTCAGTGCTACTGCCTATGTGAACTAAAATCCATTTGTAAGCTGAAGTGCTTGTACACCACACTTGGTCTGTAGTTAAACATCTGCAACAGACTTGCACACATGTAACCCTACACCAGTTTATTACTCAGATGATTTATAACTAAAGGCAGCCAAATTCATATTCAGCTTCCCCTCCAAGTAGGAACCAGTACAAACACTTCTTGCACCACTTCCACCCATCCAACTCACTTCTTACCCCCAGAAGCTCTATGTTGCTTAGGGAGAGCCCTCAAGCTCCTTTTCTCCTTCAGCAGCTCACGTGTTAAGCACAATAACCTGACTGCCACTGCACTGAAGTCAGGGTAAGAATGGCAAAGCAACATATCAGCAAGGCAACACATTTGTGAATTGTATCTGCTGACTGACAAACTCACCCTTTCCGTGAAAGAACACAAAGCACAGGAGGGACACAGCACATACCAGACAAGCAGTGCTGTTCTCCAATGTACACAGTTTACCAAGAATGGATTTCCAACCAACACAAATATCTTTCTAATAACAGTTGATAAATCGTGCTGCCTCTAAGGGAACACACTGTCCAAATGAAAGAAGATAAGCCTTTGCATGCCTGACAAATATACAATTCAAAAAAGAGCCCAATTTACCTCCATATCACCAAGCACACGTTCATATTAGAAAAGTTACTAATTTGAACGACATAGCCCAGAACAATAATTCTAGATACAAGATTCTGCAGTCCAGCAAGTGACTGTACTCTTCTCTAAATCAGAAGTTAAATGACAATCTTGATATACAACCAACTCACACAGGGCCTCAGAGGGATGACACAGTAGCACTAAGATTTGGCTTTTACAGTCAACTATGTGAGTCTTGCTACTTTTGGCATAAGAGTATTGCTTTGCATAGATAAACAATGCAACAGGGCAGGCATCACATTTTAGCCACAATGTTGCCTGAACTGTGCAGAGGTGATGAAGGACTCACTGCTCAAAAGTGATTCAGAAAGGCTAACCAGTAACACAATTGTACAGGAAGAGTTATTTTACATTAAAATAGAAAACAGCAGTAGTTACCACTTTTGCCAACATCTATCTATTTAAAGACCATTTAAGCAGTAACCCTACCTACTATTTCACTCAATTTATGAGATGTGCTAATGACAACAGTAGGAGGCACACTTGACTCAGAATAACTAGAGTTGAGATGAATATATACAAGGGGAATAAAAGTATTTGAAGGCTAACACTACACTAACAATCTCCTTGCAGCAACTGAAGCTGAGCACTGGCATGAAGCAGCTGCTGCTGAGCTCTTCACAGCTCCACTGTACTCACAGCAGGGCAAATAAACCACATTTAAAATACCTGCAACCAATATTTCAAATAGGTTCTGCTACAATTTGCTTCATATTGACAGGTCATGAAGTACACTGGGATAGTCCATCAGTCACACCTATGTTGGGCTTTTGTTAAATTCAGCAAACTTGACCCATCTTCCACAGATCAAGGAAAACTAGAGTCTTGGCCAGGACCTTGGCTTGCTGGAGATACTAAGAGCACTATTTGGTGATCCAGTGAATTTCAGCTCTTCCTCCTATTTCTTGCACAGTTCCATACGTCAAGCAAAAAGGGAATTACAAGGCAATCCAAGAGCCTTAAGGATATAGAGCAATATTCCCTAGAGTAACACCAACAACTTGGGAACACAAGCTGCATTTCACACACAGCCTCCAAACTTCCTCTGAAAGGAAGCAGATTGATAGAATCAGGTTTTAGTCTTTATTCATATAGAGCATATACATAGAAATGAGGTATAGTTGCGTTATTCAGCATTAAAAAGTCATTCTGCCAGAGACCATCACAAAATCTTCAGTAGAGCTGTTTGGAAGACTCTAGGGAGGTGGGACACCCCAGATGCCTATGCTTGCTGGCATGAACACAGAGAAGAAAAGCTCTGCTATTGCTGAGGAACATTATTTCAGGACAATTAAAAGTAACCATCAGTTAGTTATGGTTACAGTAATATAGCAAGGAAGAAAATCATTCACATTTCCCTAATAAAATAATTATGCCTTGAAGGTTCACCAATCCTCAACCCATGGCATTCTGGAAAACCAATAACATTTGAGTCCATCTTTGTGAAAGCAGATTGTCTTTTGATACAAACCATGCATAACAAATATCAACCTGTCAACAATAATATTTTCCTAGAGAAAGAGGAGGATATACCCACCATACCAATAAACACCAAACTCCTCCTTTTCTTTCTAGACACAAACAATAAGACTTAAGCTTAAAGTATTCTACTAGCTGTAGAATCAAGCTCCTTCAGCAAATACTTTTAACAGCTAAAAAATTTACATTGTTTTTTCAAACTTGTCACTTTGTACTGAGTCTCTTCATGAGAGGGAAACTACAGACTTTGGAACAATTTAACCCACAAGACACTCCTGTAATGAATGCAGTTAACCTCTGAGCAAAACATCAGGTATTTTCTCCCTTACAAATATTTTCATTCATGCTTTTTGTAACCTGTCATTTTGAATACTACTCAAGAAATTCTTCAATCAGTTGAAAGCCCAGCAACATGCCCTTCATAAATGAGCTTCTTTCTTAAATTCCTACAAAGAAGGTACTTCTTCACACAGTTTGTGCACATGGTACCGATGATGATTCAGACACTTCAACAGAGGCAACATTAGTGAGAAACAACTGATGCCAAGCTGACATTAGTTTCTGATAAGTAAGTAAAGTGTGAAGATAAAAACGGTTTTCAGGGGTTAAAGTCAGAGAACTCGAAAATTGCAAAGATTAAAATTTAAAATAAAAGTCCTATCACTTTGGTGGATTATTATTACCCTCACAGTTCAAATTGCACAAGTAAAGCTTCAGCAGAGCCCAACACTTGATCATTTCACTTTTAATTTAAAATTAATGCTCAAACACACCACCATAGCAAGTACTTAGCTAGCATGGAAGAGCAGGGCACGCTTAAGGGTCACAAAGAAAACCTTCCACAGTCAGTAAGCACAGAATAATGGCAATAACATTATGAACCAAGATATTGGTAGAACACTTGAGCAAAGGCAAATATGAATACAAATCAAGAAATCTCTTAATTCCCTCAGCTTGACTGGAACCGATTTAAAATTGCCTTTGAGAAAGTTTTGGTGCAGTTACTCCAATCAATAATTTGTGAGCAGCCAACTGCCTAAAGACCCTACAAAGACTTTTAGGACTTTGACCCAATGCTCTTTTGTCTGTCCTAAATTGGATGGAAGCACAAACAATAACAAAGATGAAGGACACAAGCGTCTCTATGAACTGCACCAAAACCCAACACTAAGAAACAAGCACCAACCTTGTAACTTAACACTGAGGCTTTGAAAACAAACTACTACACCAGGTATTTGCTCCTGGTACTCCAAGCTCTTCCCACTTCTTTTAAGGTTGTTGCACAGCAACCTCCGTCTCAGTTACACAAGCTCTGACTCGAATGGAACTAAGGCTGTTCTTGCCATCGTTAGACTGGACTCCTACTGAACTCTGGCTCTGCTCAGGCTAGAAACCCGGTAACAGAGTAGTGTCTTAGCCCAGTCTAACCCACCAGTCATTTGGAAAGTTTAAACTTCAGGGGGTCTTCTAGAGCTTCAGAAAGAAGAGAATTTCTTTCCTTGTGCCTATTAACAAGTATGAACCTCAGAACTTGGAATGAAAAAATCCAGCTTTGCAAAACTAAACGGTGTGAAACACTACATGACTTGTGTATATTCTAGAGTTACCTCCTACAGGAATCCACTGCCACAACACATGAAATGTCTGTGAAATTAACATTTCAGTGTTTTTTCCTAAAGAAAAAACACCCAAACAAATTCTGAAAAGCTAGGTCTAGCTCAAGCTGACATTTATGTACACATTTTCCCCTCAGCCCCCCTGAAGCTGTACACAAGTATTTTTACAATCCTCCAAGCTACCTTTTGGAGGCGTAAACCGCAAGACACTATACGAAACACAACCGTGGTGCATTTTGTGATGATAAACCTAAAACACTCTTCAGAGAGCACAGTATTTAAAATAATTAAAAGGCAAACTGACTCCAAGGAAAGGCTGCACCTTTCTTCCAAAGGACTGCCCCAGGTAAAGTCTGCAGCTCCCTCTGAATTAAGCAACCTCAAGCTGGTGGGTTTTACCTCCTTCAAGCACAGAGCCTAGCACCTGGGAGAGTGACTGTGCTCTGGTAATTCACAATTTTTATTTGTTTATTTTACCTGTAGCTCGCACCAGGCAACTTCCACGGTGGTTTCCGTATCCTTTATACACAGTTTTGAAAGAGCCTCTTCCAATCTCGATGTCAAACTTCAGGAAGCGGCCATCCGGGGAGATGCCCACCGCCTTGGTCTCAAGCTCTTCGATGTCCTCCTGCTGTGCTCTCCGCTCCTCAAATTCCCGGGTGGCAGCTGACAGGCTGCCAGCGGCACTGGTAGGGGGTAGCGCAGTTGCCTCGTCCCCCTCCTCCTCCTCCTTGGGCAGCAGCGGGGCGGCATCCTTGGCAGCTGGGGGCTCCTCAGCAGCCTGTCCTTCTTCCAGGGGGAGCGGGGCGGGCGGCGGCGGCTGCTGCAGCAGCGAGGGGGCTTGGGCGGCGCTGACAGCGGTGCAAGGGGTCGGGCCGGCACCCTCGGGAGGGGACACCAAGGGAGCTGCGCTGCCTCCCGAGACCGGGGCCGAGGACGCTGCGGGCTGCAAGCTGGGCAGCTCCAAGGCCGTGGCGTTGGAGTCGCAGATCACGCTCCGGCGGAAGAAGCGGTGCTCGGTGGCGGCCGCCCCCCGGCTGTCCTTGTCCATGGTGTGGCGGCGGCGCCGGTACTCCTCACTGCGGCCGCCGTTCCCCGGCCCGCCGTCCGACCCGCCGGCACCGGCGGCTCCGTGGTCGGCGGCTCCCAGCTTCTCCCCGACGGAGCTGTCCGAGCTGGAGCCGTTCTTGGGCGGCGGCGGCGGGGGCACCAGGAAGCGAGGGGCCGGGGCGCCGCTGCCCGGGGCGCTCCCCGACATGGTGCCCCGGGGGAGCGCGGCTGTGGCGAGGCGGCGGCGGCGGGAGGCGAGGGGAGGGCCGGTCACTGAGCGGGGAGCGCGCCCGGCCGCGGCTGCCGTTGCAGCTGCAACTGAGGAGGGTCCCAAGGGCTCCTCGCGGCGGAGCTGGGAGGCTGGGCCGGCGGGGTGGATCCCCGGTCAGCGTCTGCATCCATCCTGCAGCGGGGAGCCGGGCAGCGGGGCCGACATGGAGCACCGGGAGCCGACACGGGGCGCTGGGATGGAGCGGGGGGCGGCGAGGGGAGGGAAACCCCGAGCACCCGGGGAGGGGGCCCCCGAGCGGGGAGACGCCGGCGCCTCACCCGGCTGCGGTTACCCCCGGCGATGGAGAGAGAGAGAGAGCGAGCTGGGCCGGTGCGGGGAGGGGAGGGAAAGCGGCCGGGAGCCGAGGAGGGAGCGGGGCGCAGGCCCCGCACACCAAGGGAGCCGCCGCGCTCAGTCACTCGCAGCGAGCGGGAGAGGCCCGGGCAGGCCCAGGGCAGGGAAAGGGGTCCCGGGGGCTCAGCCCCGCCTCACCGGGGCGCCCATGGCGGCCGCGGCCTCTCCACCGCCCGGCAGGCGCAGCCACCGCCCGCGCGGCCGGGCCGCGCTCCCTCCAACAGCCACGGCCGCCGCGCGCGGAGCCGGAAACCCTCCTCCTCCTCCTCCTCCTCCTCCTCCTCCTGCTGCTCCTGCTGGTGCTGCTGCCGCCGCCGCCGCTCCTTCTCCTTCTGCCGCTGCTGCCCGCGGCCCGCAGCCGCCGCGCACTGGGGGCCGCCGAGCCAAGTCCGGGTGGCGCCCGGCGGGCAATACCGAGCGCGGCCGCCCCGGCGACGCCTCCGCGCTAAATGGCGACGGGCGGGAGCCCGAAACCGACACACGGCACAGGGGGGAGGAGGGGCCGCGCCGCCGGCCACGCCCCCGCCCGCACCCGGCCAGCGCGCCGTGCCCTCCCCCCCGCCGCCGCGGGGAGGTGGCCGCGCCCGCCGCGCGCGGGGCACCACGGGAGCTGTAGTTTTCCAGTGGCCCGGCCGGGCCGGGGGAGCCGCCCGCGGATTCCCCGCGGGTTGGGAGGGAGAGAGGAAGAGAGGGAGGGAGGGAGGGAGAGAGGGAAGGAGGGAAGAAAAAGGATCCCGGCGTGGGGCTAGGGCCAGGGGGCCGATGTGGTGTAGGCGAGCAAGGATCGGCGGGTCAAAAGGCGCTGAGTCTGCTCATAGTTCTTGTTTCTTCAGGTTTTGCGTTGCACCGACATGTTAAATAGTTTAAGTATTTGTATTTATCTAAATATTGCATATAAACAGATAAATATAGTTCACAGAGTCACAGAATGACCTGAGTTGGAAGGGACCCACAAGAACATCAAGGATCAGCTCCTGTCCCTGCACAGGACCATCCCCAACAATTCCACCATGTGCCCAACAGCATCGTTCAAATGCTCCTTGAACTCTGACAGGCTTGGTGCTGTGATTACTGCCCTGGGGAACCAGTTCCAGTGCCCAACCACCCTCTGGGGGAAGAACTGCTTTTTAATATTCAACCTAAACCTCTCCTGACACAACTTCACGCCATTCCCTCAGGTCCTGTCCCTGGTCCCCGTAGAGCAGAGATCAGTGCCTGCCCCTCCACTTCCCTGCTGAGGAAGCTGTAGACAACAATGAGGTCATGTTTTCAAACAGCCTCTCAAAGTCTTTAAAATCGTGGGCAACAATAACTCTGTGCAGCTGAGCACTGTATGAACAAGTGAGGGTTTGAGTTTTTCCTCCATTTAGGCCATCTGAAGAGGCACTAAGTGGCCAGGCAACCTAAAATACAAATAACTGCCATGAAAATGTCATTGTTCAAAAAAACTAGAATTTGCAGATTCTGCCCTTAACACAAGTGTTATCCTGTGGCCATTTTAGCCATGGTTGCAGCTGCTACAATTGAACCCAGGCTTGTACAGCAGCCAGAGGAGCAGTGAGAGCCCACACAGATCCTGACAGGAATCAGGAACTTTCAGGTTAACAAAGTGTTGGCACAGACGAGTCATCTAAATTATTTATATCATGTTCCTCTTTTGTATCAATAAACCAAAACCAAGCACTTTCCTTCTTACGACAGCAGTCTTTTGAAGTCAACTCGAATGTACTGAAGGTGGAGCAAATGATTTGGTACCAAGACTTTCAGGCAACTACAGATCAAAAATTACGTTGAGCAAAAAAAAGAAAATTAGGAAATTTCCCTGTGTAAATAATATGTTCCCAGCAAACACACTGCCATTTCAAATATTTTTTTTAAAGTTACTTTTAAACCAGCAGTTTTGAGGAAGTTGTATGTTGCTGATATGAGGTCTTAACTCCTTCTGCACGATGTAGCACAAGTGGCCCTTTCAGAGTTCCACAGACACAAACCATCAACCTAAGCAATTCTCACGTGCTTGTATTCCTCACATATAACATTTAACAACACATGGCAATCAGCATATCGTTGTTTTCTGTACATCCTTCTGCCCTACTTTTTAGCCTTCGTAACAGCAAATAAAATAATGGTATAGCCTTTGCAAAGAGAACAAGAAGTACTTCGTTGTATAACTCCACAGTAAAGAAATCTGCATGGCTCAGGCCTTCCTGAGCTTGCCTTCACTGAAAAAGTTAATTTAGTTAGTATATTCATCAGCGTGCTGCTTGAACTGCATCAGACCAAGAGTAGACACGCTCCAAAACTACGCTGAGCTGAACAGGGTAATTTGATTAGCAGCAGAGTGACAGGATCGAAACTGATTAACCCATAATTCAATCTGCCACATCCCTGCCGCACTGCCAGCACCAGCATCTCTCCTGACACCAAGCAGGGTTCAGCTTCACTCAACACTTGACTACAGGTATTTGTGCATCCCTCTAGACGACAGAATGAGGATTAATTTACGGCATCAGCAGGTGTATCCCTGCTAGCTTTATACTGTTAGGGGTAGTAAGACATATTAGCTGAGCTCCAGGAAGAGCTGACAACCAAGGTCCTGTTATCTACCTTGCTCTGGCCACTCCAGCATCACTGCTGCTGTTGCCTTCTGGAGCTACATTAAAGCAGAGATCTACTTTCCCCCACTGCATTTTACTAACCCTTTGGGTGGGATAAGTAGGATTAGACAGCAAGCCTCGCTCCAGCTTGATGCCTGATGTAACTTCATGAGTGCATAGCTAAAATAATGCAGCAATAAATCATTCCCTGTGGTGTAAGCCCACGGAGCTGTTAGGTGAATTCCACTTGCATCATCAGTAGGCTTTGGCAAGCAGCTCCCAGGTCTGTGCCCAGCCATGTACCGTGTGACCTACTACACAAGGTAGATGAGCTGCAGCGGGGGAACCACCTCGCAGTGGGCTGCATATGTGGTTTAAATGAGACCTTGATTGTAGCTCCCCTCTCACTCAAGTGCCTTTCACCCATTGTTCTTGAATATATTTTCCCCGTAGTTAATTAAGCAAAAGCTTTGCAAAAGAGACTACAGCCCAGCCATGCATAGCCACAGGGGGCCTGAGGCAGTCTTCTACTAAAAAATTGTGGTAATTATGTAAAAAGGCACCTCCCCGGTGCCTGAACCAGCACATTCCTTAGCGTTCTTGAAATTCAAGAAGGTTAGTCCTCCAAGTCAAATGCGAGGTCCCTAACACTGGGCTCTTCTCACTGGCTCCTCTTCTGGGCAGAGGTAGGCAGAGCAATCCTCTTGGCAGAAAAAAAAAAAAAAAAAAAAGAAGCTGAGCAGCTGACCTGGAGGTGGGAATGATGGATTTTGTCTTCTTTGGCTCCGAAAAATGGAGTGGTATGATATTGGCAATTATATTTTATGTGGGTGTTGATTTAATTTTGTCATTCTAAAAAAAGATGAATGTAATAAAGAGTGTGGGCTTGCTTTCCCTTCAGTTTTATTTCTTTTAATCTGTAAAACTCTGTTTAGGCTAAATGGAAAATTTCAGTATTGCAGCAAGATTTAATAAGCCTTAAAGTAAATTCTATGTGTATTCTATGTTTAGAAACAAGTAATTAAAATAGTTTCGGTGCCGGAGATCCTCAGCCAATTAAAAATATTTCTTTCGCCCATTGCCCTAAGAAAAATCCACAGAAATAAGGAACCTGACTATACTTGAGAAATTACAGGCAAAGAGACTTTTGATTGAATCCAAAGGGCTGACACTTGACACAGTAAAAATATCCTTCTTCTGTCAAGCCTTTTTTAGTTACAGTCATCTTGCATGGAACAATAATAGTTTAAAAAATTACTCTGAATGAAGTGTGATTTTGAAGTTGACTGAATCAGAAAACTTTTTTCTGATTTGCTTTCTCTAGTGAAATTTCATCCACTGTTGGCATCCATGACCTGCCCATGTGACAAAGTATTAATGTGAAACAGCTATTCTCTATTTTCTCTTATGCAATACATTATGCAATACAGGAGGCTATGCCATAATTTTGATGCATGTGATTTTATTCCATAACCTAAGTGCTCTTCAAAGGAAACTCTTCATCACAGTTTTATTGCCCATTACCAGGTTGTAGCTACAGTGCCCTGTAACAACAGTAACAACACAAATTTTTCTACCACAGTTTCTCCTTTTTCCTTGACTTTTCTTGAATCCAGGCCTCTGCCACAGTGTTAACTTTTGTTTCTTACAGCTGGAAGTCAGTGAAACAAAGTATTTCAAGACTGCATGCTTGAGAAACGAGGGTAACCTTTCAGATATTCTGTTTTGCTTTGTTTTCCCCCCCCCCGCAAATCAAAGTTAATTGGAAACTTGTTCTAAAACATTACATGTCTTTTATCTTTAGTGAGGTTTTGCACTTGCAAGTAGCTCTGGAAGTCAGGTCGGTTATGAAATCATTGTAACCATCTCTAGGATCTCTGGGCAGTTTAAGTCTTCAGGCTCTGTAGTAGGTGGTCCATCAGATGGTGTTGGATGGTGAGTCCTGCCAAAACCTCTGAATGTGGGTAGTCTCCCCACAAGCAGGGACTGTGGGAATTGAAA